TCGCCAAACCATATCCTAATGAGGACACAGATGGATATGGATTTGGTCTACTGATTTCGCCGGCGGTTGGCGACAAAACTGCGACATCTCGCAACCAAATTGTTTGCTGGGTATATAAAGTATCCAAGATGAAGCAGGCCATCTAAATATCTCCGTATCTTTTTTATGACACGAAAACCGTTCATGCCATAATTTGAATGATTTTGAAAGAGGAATATTATGAAATTAAAATTTTCCGATTTCAAAAATTTTTCTCAAAATGTTTGAAATGTTTTGGTCATCTGAAGGCCATGCTTTAGGACATACTCAAATGTATTTTTTATCAGTTAGAAGATGCAATAAAAACAAATATACTTTTTTATTAAAAAAAAATGCCGATGACTTTGAAAAAAAACAAACAATCACTTGACAGAAACATTTTTCTTTCATAATATTCCTCTTTCGAAACCATTCAAATTGTGTTACGAACAATTTGAATGTCTCGTGTCATTAAAAACAATGATATTTAAGTGGCCTGCTTCAGCTTGGACTTTGCATATAGAGCAATCACGAAAGATTTATTTCGCGAAGACATTTAGAAATCCATAACATGTAAGCAAGATTGCGCTCAGACAATCATTTCATTTATAAAATAATCATCGTTTTATCTCTCATCTTATAGATTAGAGCAATTCTCTCTGCGTTAATACGTAGATTGAATTAAGAAGAGAGGAGTTGCGCATCATTTTGGAGAATATACCGAGTCCGATGCAGATGATGTTTGAGAGTTGATCCTGCGGTGTAAGCTGCAGCACTCCCAGCAGGCTGTACGCCATCGCCAGACATCCAACGTATCCGCGTAGCGTCCAACCGTGTAGATTTCTCAAATCCGGCAGCAACCAATAAACAATATACGTTGCAGCCAGAAACGGTACGGATGCAAGCATTCCATAAGAATAGACGACTCCGCCGGTGTTATCATCATCGTTGATTGCGTACGCGTCTTCGCAGAAGAATACTAGGTACTCACGATACTCGTAGCTTTTCACTCGCGCTAGACAATATTGACTATAATGTAGGAGACGATCTTCCGGTGTCTCAGCCTGAGGTCTCAATATCGAACCATTAGACAGTAGATACCATTTCTCATCCTTGTAAGCGTGCGGATTCAACGGATACCGTTTCTGTCCGTCGCACGGATTCCATATCACAAAGTAAAAGTGCTCGTCGCTCGCAGTCAAATTGGTCGGCGTAAGATCAGTCTCGTAAATCGCTGGCAATTGTATTGTATTCGTCCTGTTCGCCGTTTGTTCTTCCACACAGTAGTCTCCAGTGAGGAAAGTACCAACGGGACAGCATAACGACACGCGGGACTTCCCAGAGTCGTTGAGATCATCATCGGTAGTTATCTAAGAACGGAGAGCCCGAGGGAACGAGATCAAATAGCGTCGTCAATTCATACAATTGGATACAATTCAGTTATGCAGAAAAAAATAGAATGTCAATATCTCGATTTGCTAATCTCCATTACAAAATGTCATTGTGTTTATGTGTATGTGATGATAAATAATAATATATTAACTATCGATCATTAATTGTTACAAATATATCAAAAGATATTTTATTATTTTAATTTTCTCGTTCACACCACAAGAAATAATAATAATAATAATAATAATAATAATAATAATAATAATAATAATATATAGGTACATATATAATCTTTTATTATATTATAATATTTCTTTCTGCATAGACACCTTTATATCCAATTATATATTTACATGTATAGTTAGAGAAAATTGATTCCAAGTTATTGTCGATTATAAATAAAAAGTCAATTATTAGCATGAGTAAAACAGTTGACATTTATTGAGAGGATTAACATTACTTTGAGTTATTTTTATTTCACACAATATTGTTATATTATATTTATATGCAATTATAATTAATACGACTTCATTAAAATGATAGACAACAATTGTAAATTTATAGACCAGCGTTATTATTAGAGAAGTCTCATCTGTCATTATAGAAATTGTTATGGAAACAGACAAAGCAAAACGAATTAGCGTTGTTGACAAACTTCAAGCTATCGAATGCAAATCAAACTTGGAATTATCTCTACCTCCAAGTGAACATGAGGAATAATAAAACCTCTCTCTCGTGATCCCTCCGACTCTTCCTCCGGCCAATCGCTTTCGGAAGCGGCCGCTCGCAAAATTGCGAAAAACGCAAGTAACAACGCTGTTCTTAGACGCTGTTTCATTCTGTACTAATTAGTGAAGCTGCTGTAGCAACTTGAGATGATTATCGTCGCTGCCTCTGTGTTATCGCCGTGCGGAAGCTTACTCACAAAACTGCCGCAAGAAACGACGAAAAAGAGGGAGAAAGAGACGACATGACGAATTTTCTGAGAATGAGAAGCAAAGTCTCTCTCTCTATATATCCCATAAAATAATAATAAAATTTCATAAAATACTAATGATAATATAATAATAATAATATAATATGCAGCTAATTATACTCTTACAATCTGTCTTAATTATTAATCAAATAAATCAAAAGGCCGATACGAGCAGTAAAATACAGGTTGGTCGTGTATAAAAAGTTGTCTTTATTCAATAAATAGACGTTTCGGTCACACAAGTTTGGACCTTCTTTAGTATGAAAAAATTAAGTTTAAATAAGAAAAAACATTTTAGTACACTATATCACTAACAAATAAATGAAATGATGTCAATAAATTACAATAATATAATGTATACTGACTAGTACACATTAATACTAAATTATATTATATTATTGTATAATATTGACAATAATATTGATTATATTATTGTAATACTAAATTACAATAATATAATCAGTACACATTATATTATTGTAATTTATTGACATCATTTCATTTATTTGTTAGTGATGTAGTGTACTAAAATGTTTTTTCTTATTTAAACTTAATTTTTTCATACTGAAGAAGGTCCAAACTTGTGTGACCGAAACGTCTATTTATTGAATAAAGACAACTTTTTATACACGACCAACCTGTATTTTACTGCTCGTATCGGCCTTTTGATTTATTTGACTATTTCACGAGCGATTGATTGATTAATTATTAATACTGCTGCTGTTAGATGCATGATTAAACCAAGTTGTATTTGATTTAGTGAAAGTGATGAAAGACAATGTAAGTTTTATTTTAATGATAGAGATAACATACTATAAGATGCCGCAAATATGACGTCATCCTTTTGCGGATGTTAAGATTATTATTTCACGCTATATGAATTATTTACAAAGTGTAACGAATAATAAATCCATGAAAATTATATCTTGTATTCATTGATTAATGATAAATCTGATTCGAGATATATAATCTATATATCTTTTACATGCGATATTCATTATATAAACATGTAAATGTAAATAAATCAGGAAATTCAGATTTACGCACGAAACACCTATGTACAATATCTACACAGTTAAAGATATTTCTTTGTGCAACTTGAAAGCTTATAATAACCATACTGAAGCTATTATAGCAGCACGGACACTCAATCATCCGGTGTCGTCTAACCGGATTTGTCGAATAAGCAGATGTATCTATTTGCGCACATAAGCATTGTTACCTGTCACATAATGTTTATTTTTTCACAAAAAGTATCATCGGAAAATCATATATATATACATATAATCTTCACACTCAAATTACAAATTAATCTCTAATTCAATTGATTCATATTAATATGATCCATATTACTATGGCTCGCGATTTGAGAAAAGAGGCGTATTTCTGCGCACAAATGTAATAATTCATTGAAGAAAAATAAAGCAACAAACGTTAACGCATTATTGACACATGTAAGAAATGCGTTTATTACAAGAAGAGAAGAAGAAAAAATAAAACGCGAGTGTAAGTGAAGATATCGCCGATGAGTATTTCTTTGTTTTTTTCACTACGAATTTGATATTGAATATCGGTCGAAACACGAAAATTTCATCTAGACTAAATATAGCACTATTATCGCTGATGATTATACGGCGATTACTCTTTGCTATCTCTCACTTAGCGATAAGGTACAGTGTTCTACTGTGACGACTTTTCTTTCGTTGACAAAAAACATGGGAAAAAGAACGCACGCGTGCGAGAAACGCGAACTACTCACGCGAGCAACGGAAAGAGACTAGCCGGACGATCATCGGATCGTCGATAGTGTTGGAAAAGAGCAGCCTCTACCTGCTGGTAGTTCGCATATATACAGAGCGGTACGGAAGAAAAGAACAACAAGCTTCTGTAAATGATAATTTGACCAATCAAGCAGCCACGTAAATTTAGACCGCCGATTATTTAGATGTTTAATGCTTCAATGGAGGATCATTACATCTTAGAAGTGGGCTATCGAAAACTGAGAATAGATTTATGAAGCGCGGTTAAACAACGGGCGAGCAACAAGGAATTTATGTTCGCCAGATGTTACCTCTCTGTGCATCTCTCATAATGTTGTAGAAAACCAAACAGTAAGCATTGTTGTCTAAATCATAAAAAGTCTAAATCGAACTACGAACTACAATTGAGATACTAGGATTGAAAATATTGATTTAAAGTTTAGTGAACTTTATCCTAATTGTCAACTTCCAATCCTATCTCAATCTTAATCTTTATATCATGATACAGACTTTAGAATTATATAGATAATCAGAAAAAAGGTAGATTTGAGTATATATTATTTTATACGAATATTTTTATCTCACCATATGTGTAGACGAAGATATCGGCAAAGACAGATAGCGAAATATATACGCACTACATTCGCACACATACATACCTAACCGGTTTGTACTCGTCGCTTCGTTGTAACTTGTCATCGCACACATATCCAAGGGTGTTATTAACATTTTGTCTTACACAATTGGAAATTGAAGATATCGACTAGCTTGCCGGCATGTTTTTCGCGTACATCGAAACTTTCCTCATAGATAGGGCTGTCTCTCAATCGCGATTAGTGAATTCCTCCGAATCCCGTGAATCGAATACTAAAGATTAAGAGTGACATATATCAGAACGTGTGATGCTTGCATCATCACTTATCACAGTGATATTGGTATTACGAGCAAAATAATGCGATTGATTCATTCAATGTCTTTCTCCTGCGCATTGAAGATTAACGGCGAAATATAATTAAATGTGATTCTCTAACAATTATTAATTCTTAAATGTAATTTTCTAGCCATAATCCTTTCATTCTATGAGATATGTGTGTATGTGTGGGTTCACGCGCGCATATTTACATATGCAATTATAAAGTGAGCAAAATTGATTGATTATAAATAAATGAATCAATAAATTAATAATAATTAAATAGATTTATTAATTTATTATTTTTAAATAGATTTATTAAGTTATTGTTTATAATAACAAATTAGTAAATTAATGACCAATAAGACAGTTCATAATAATATAACTGTTAAATTACTTGCTCAATTTATCAATTTAATTTTTTTATAACATAAGTTTTATTTTCACATTACACACATTTTCCATTAATTTGAACTGTAAAACGTTAGTAGTTAGAACAATTAATTAATAAAAAAAATCAAAATGATTACAAAGAAAAAATATTCGATACTTGAAAATGTTCTGCTAACAAGGTTTAAAAAGCCAAAGAATGGAAATGTTAAAATACTGCAATACGATTACTACATTCTGTAATAATTATATAAATGATATAAATTATATGTATAAAGGTATAAATTATTCGCAAGCGCTCATACGCGTTTGTGTAAAATTTCTCTTAAGATAATATTCTCAAGATAGAGAGAGCTGTGTTTTGTGCAAAACCTGAAACGCGATTCAATGTAAACTTATGAAGATTAAAAACTGCAATTAATAGAGTGTGATTATCAACTTTCTTGTGTTTTATGCATTTAGAAAGATAATACTGTAATATAAGTATTCATAAACTGTGCGCATGCGATAAAATTCAATCATGATCGATTATAACTCACAAGGAGAAGCTTAGACATTTGAATCACCGATTTACTTCAAATTTTGTACGTTAATAGGGAAACATTCGCGAGAAAATCCACTCATAACTTATCATATACATTTTTATTTAAAATATTATTACATTTTATTTATTGTTCATTCACACATAGGAGTATATTTTTGTGTTATTTTAATAAGTAATGCAAATTGAACTATAAATACATGTTTATTTTATTACTCTATAAAAAAGATATAGATTAAGATATTCTATAAAATTTGAAGATGGATTTTCTCACGAATGCTTGAGAGATACATTTTGCTACTTGGGCATGGGATTGTGTTTGTAATTCCCTATTAACGTGCAAAACGTGAAGCAAATCGGTGACCCGAACGTCTGAGCCTCTCCTTGTTGCAGTTCAATAATTTGCAGTTGAAATTGCAAAGAAACAGTTACAAATGATGTGCAAAATGATCAATTACCTGTGATGATGCATAGCGCACGTATCGGAGACATATGGATATAATTAGCCAAGATGAGAAAGATATAGGCGATGATCAGACAAATAACATAGCACATGAGCGTCTTGCCGTAGAGATTCCTCAGTTCGGGAATAATCGCGTACACTAGAAAAGTGGCGACAAGAAACGGAATAGACACTATAATGCCCACGTGGTGAGCCGTATATTCGTTGTCTTTGGTCGGAATTTCCGGCATCAGACAGACTAGAATGCCGACTTTATCATAAGTTACCTGCCAATCGAGGCAGTAATTCCAGAGTGGGTAAAGTTTTCCGTTGGCGGTAACGAGACTACCGTTCGCCTGAAGAATAACATTATCTTCGTCGTAATCGTCGGGATTGAGAACCAATATGCGGGCGGGACAATCACGACCTTCTACCAGAAGGAAGTGTTTCTTCAAGTCATCGACGTGTTGGACTTCTTCGGCCAGTTGGTCTCGTGGTAAACGTAGATCGGGTGTTCTAGCTGCCGTTGTCAGTTTGGAAGTATCGTTTTGGAGCATTTTCTGGCATACAGATGTTTTATTGATATTTTCACGAAGGACTTCATCGCTGCGACAGCACTTTCTGATACAGTTACGCTGCTTGCAAACGCAACCGTAAGTGACATTGCCGTCAGTCCAGCGTAAATCAGCCGGATAGATGACACCATCGTGGACGAAACTTCCGTTGTTGTTCTCCAGCGGCCGCGATGATACAAGACCGTTCTCCACAGCGAGAACCACACTAAGCGACGGCGAGCAGTGCGGGTCATTTTTCAGTGACAATGACGACGACAATGACGGCGGCGACCCATCAGCAGCGTCGCCACTAGCTGTCAACAGACCACACGCAGCGAACAGAACCGCCGAATTGATACTCGCGGAGCGAGTATACATCGCGACAAGGGCGTTGAAGAGCGTTAACTATCTTCAGTTGCAACTCGCGCGGCGATCATCTGCGGCGGTTTGCTCGACACCTCCGATGTCCGCGACGCCCGGCGTCTCTGCGTCGGTGGATGCGCGCCGCGGCGCCGCGAACTTCAGCAAAGCGAGCAAACGAGCGTGCAAACAATGTGCTCTGTCGTATCGTTGCTTCAGTTTGATAGAAAAACACGCGCGGAGAAAGAAAGACGTTATCTTGGATTTGATAAGCGGAAAATACCGATTTAATATTTATTCTGAAGTTCTACCCTCGATATATCGCAGGGTTTTTTACAAGATCCTCAACACATCGGAAACTTGCATTTTTTAAATGCAATTATGATAAAAATTAGGACTTCTTCAACAAAAATTATGAATATTATAAATGTAAAAAAAGAAATTTTGTTGTATATAAATTTGGGTTATATATAATTTGCGCGCGTATATGTATGACGTGTAATTGCGCGTGTGTATATCTGATTGTGAGAGAAAAGAAAATCGAAAAGATAAATACTTGTATAATGTATAATATAATGTATACATATTAGAAATTGTTAACTCTCATAATGAGATATGTACATATATATGTGTATATATATATATATATATATATATATATATATATATACTAATTAATATTATATATATATATACACAACATATATAATATTAATTAGTATATAAACTTAAATTACGAGTTTTTTCAGATCTTTTTTTAATTAGTTTGATATCAAGCACGCTATATAATGTGATGACAGGATTTATTTATTTAGGTTTTGTTTTGATTACAATTCACTTTTGAAATCCACTTTTTTGATTTTAGAGAAAATATATATAAACTGCTACATGATTATTTAATAATTGTTGAAAAAACTAATAAGTGATCATTCTGTTTTTATCTTCACAAAAACTGCTATTAATATTTGTTACATTATATTGTAATAATAAAATTTGTAATAATAAAATTTTTTTCTTCTAATAGTAAACACAAATTAAAACAAGCTGCTAATCTTATTTCAGAAAAACGCTATCTGTGTTGAAAATATAGATACTCGTTAAAATTATCATGAAAATAGTTTTTCTTATTATCGATTATTGATACTCGCGCGTATATCAGATGTTCAAAGATATATATCACATGTAGGTTCTTATTATACACATACACATACACACACACACAAAATACATATACATATACATATACATATATAATATATATATAGAGAGAGAGAACAATAGCAATAATATAATAAATTATCAATGTCATCTTCTATCAATTTTACTATGATTTACTTTAAATACAATCGCATTAAAAGGTTTTTCTAAAGCTAATGTATTAAATAATTTTTATAATTGCAACTTCATTTTTTATAAAAATTACATAAGCAAAATTGAAAGTACATTTAGCTAAGATATATTGCATGCACGATCTGTAATTTTCCAATAACTCTATAATTATTCGATCACGCAACGATTTCAGATGACAACACACGCAATCACAAATGTAGTGTATAAGTTGTTACTGTAATCTTATCATTAAAAAAAAAAAAAAGATGAATCTATCTCCGAAGGGGGTCGCTTTTGTTCGAATAGTTACAGAATCATGTTTTTGATGAACTCAAATACTTTCGTTACTTGCGTGACGCGAACACTTTCGAAATCGTAATTGCTCACATGATTACGCAATAAACCTGCTTTAATACTTTTTCTATATATTAATTTGTAACGACCAGTTGTATGTTTGCAGTTATACATACATACCGCTGATCAGTATAGCTCTCCATTGTATCCACCGATTATACAGCGTCGACAAGGTAATTTTCATTCTTTACGATCGTATTGTTGCAACGTTTACACACCATCCGGTTTACACAGAAACTTCAGAATAAAATTTTCATTACTCTGTGTTTCATTTTATTTTATAAATTAACTAAAAGACATATTAATCATAATGTCATGTGTTATAATACGAGATTTCATAAGACACACATAGAGTAAGTATTCGATATGCAGTGTTGTTTAATGCTGAACTTTTAATAGAAATTTAAAATAGATACATACTTATATACAATATACTGTCTCTTCCTATAATAATCAACACTTTTTTAATTTTATTTTTAATTACTCAGATGTTCTACTTATTTTAGTTTTTATATATTTTTGCATATATTATATATACAGTATTTTATTTAATTTTAATGTTAAAAATTATATGTTATCCAAAAAATTATAAGTATGCTCGGTTATATTTTCACAATCGCTTAATTATTATTACTTTCTAATGTATAATACTAACACAAGTATATGATGTTGATTAGTAGCCTATATCTTTTGAACCATAATCGTTACTTCATAGAACATTTTGTATGAACGTTATATTTGTGTATAATCAATCGTTGACAATCTGTACGAGAATTATCATGCGGATCGTATAAAAGTATATAACAGTTAGTTAAAGAGCCTTTTTATGTTACGTACATACAATACAAAATAGCAAAAGAATTTGCTGCACAATGAATATTAAGTTATAAATAATATTACTAACATATTGTTTAATGCATATATGAGTGTGTGTGAATATATTTGTTTTAGATGATAAATTCAGATGAATTACTAAATATATTGAAAACAGCAGATGCCGTGACATTCGATGTTGATTCCACTGTCATAACAGAAGAAGGCATTGATGAACTTGCAAGGTTTTGTGGAAAGGGAGAAGAGATCAGAGAATTGTATGCTTGTTACTTGATCGTATGATTTAACTTTGCTCGTTTTAATATAAACAAATATTGAAACCCATTTTGGTAGGACAAAGCAGGCTATGCAAGGTGATATGACATTTGAAGCATCTTTGTCAACAAGATTGGGAATTATCAATCCAAGTTTTCAGCAAGTCAAGACATATGTAGAAACACATGAACCGAAGCTTACCAATGGTATCAAGTAAGATACTCATTTTTGTTAAAACTAGAAAAAAAAATAAAAACAAGTACTAATTCGTATAGGTATAGGTTCCAATCATACATGTTGTCTTAATAAGATTGGAACCTATACGATTATTATATATCTAATAATCTAATTCTCGATTATCTAATTCTCATTTAGAGAATTGATATCAAATTTACAAAATCGCGGAAAAGAAGTATTCCTCATATCTGGCGGCTTTCATTGTCTTATTACACCAGTCGCTAAAAAACTTAATATTTGCCATCATAATATTTACGCTAACAGATTAAAATTTTACTTTACAGGTAAGTATACACTATATACCTTAAATTTAAAGAAAAAAATTTAGGTTTTTGATAGTATAATCAGCAATATATATAATTAGGCGAATATGCGGGATACGATGAAAATCAACCGACTTGTAAAAGCAGTGGCAAAGGAGAAGTAATACGACTACTTAAAGAAGAAAAAGGATTCAAGACTGTTGTTCATATAGGCGATGGTTCTACAGATCTAGAAGCGTCGCCACCAGCAGACGCGTTTATAGGTAAATATAATATTGAAGATAAGCCATAACATTATTTAGAAGCTATTACGTAATATTATGAATAAAAATGCAATAAAAATGTAATATTACAAATATCATAGTTTTGATGAAACACGTTCGTTTTTACTTACAGGATTTGGAGGAAATGTAGTTCGAGAAAATGTGAAATCACGTGCAAAATGGTTTGTCACAAATTTTCATGATCTTATGAGAAATTTGTAAAAAAACCTACATATTTTTATATTATATAGTTTTCATTAAATATATATGTGGAGAGTATACATATTTTTAATGTTATAAAAAACTGTTTCACTATTTTACACGCTATCTCAATTATTACAAAAATATGTAAACATATGCTGCAAATCTTATTTTTTTATATTGTTTATTTTGTAAATTATACGTATATACTGTGACACAATTTATTAACTTCACGTTTGACATTAATAATGAATTAAAATGTAAATAATGCACAGATTACGCAACAAATCCACCTCAGCATACACAGAAATTCGAAAAATTATGAAACTTAGACAGGTTTTTTTTGAATACTTTTAAATCTATATATTCATAATATTATATTATAACATACATAAAATATAATATATACTGCGACATATATCTTGTACTAAATATAATTATTTTTTATAATGCAGAAATTTATAGAATTTGCATTATTTAACACTGACATATGTTGACATTATTTATAATAACACCATAATATATCGTATTAAATAATTATTATATATTAGTTAAAATTGCTAATTGTGGTGATTCTATATTTATTTATCCTTACGGAAAAAACGTTGAACTCTTGACCGTAACGTACGAAATCACGTTCAACTTGACCGTAAACTTTCAATATTCAGCGTTATACGTTCAATTTTGAGTGTTTACGGCCAAGTTGAACGTGATTTCATACGTTACAGTCAATAGTTGAACATTTTTTCTATAAGGGTATAACCCTTTGTATAATTTATATATATATATATATATATATTATACATATATATATATATATGTACATTGCCAAGTGTGTATACAAAATTGCTTGTCGTAAATAGATTAAACAAATAATAAAATTTATGTTCATCTGTTTGTTTCATTTTTTGAAATGTTATCATATCGATGTGCATCATCAGTTTTAACACGGTCACTGCTACGTCGAGTTTTGTGAGACAACACAGATACGCATATCGTATCAATATCGTAAAACAATCGACAAATTTTGCGCGACGGCAGTCAACTTGTTAATACCTTACAATTTGTTCTTTACTTGTTTGACATTGTGTTTCACTAGAAAATAGTAATTAATAATAAATTATGTATTTATGCTTAATGCTTTCTCTTGTTTTTTCTGCAAAATCCACTCTTTTATTTTCCGCTGCAGTTCGACATTTGGTTTCACCATATCCATAGTAAGTTGAGATCTATTAAAAGGATCAGTTTGATCACTCAACAAATGCCTGAAAGAAAACGTAAAATTGTATTGGGTTCACAATGTATTATTTGAATTCGTACATTTACCTTGCTATAGTTTGACGATCGATTGTTATTCTCGATGATGGCAAAATTACAGGATCGTTCATGACAGTTGACATAATCGGATCTAAAAATTCATCAGGGATACCTGTCAGAATTTCATCCTCTTCCTTCTTTTGATCTGCAGCTCTTTTCACGCTTTTTGCAAACAGAGCAAGATCTCCCAAAATTCCCACACCGCCGATACGAACTGCAGTATATACATTTTTAAGTTGCATGACTTTTTTCTCTTTGCTAATGTCAAATAAGTCACAAGAAACGTGTAAAAATACTTGCCAAGTACATTTTCCGCAAGTTTAAAGAGTTCTGAGCTATAAGAACGTCCATCTTGCGATACAGCTAATGTGAAGCTTTCACTTTTACTCAGGTTAATATATATTTCGCATATGTTCAACACTAAATTCGCCGGGTCAAACGCGTATTCCTTGTGATCGTTTACCTGAATTTTTCACAAATATAGTATGATGTTATTTTATAGTATTCGTATTCGCAAATTTTTCTTGAATTTACCTTAAGATTTTTTTTATTCGGACCTACTAATTGTAGTAATAAATAATTGAGCATAGAAGCGATACGATCCACCATGGTCGGATGACAAAAGATAGACTTTATCTCGGTAGTTAGCATCTTTATTGTTTGTATAGTTTTTCTGCCTAGAATATTGTCGAAACGAGCAATCATACCAATATGCTGAAGATATTGTGCCTGTTGTTCGCGTTCGTTCAGCGGTAAATTATTCCATTCTCCGCTTTCCCTTGTGAGTAACCATAATATTAACTGATTTATAATAAAATGTTCTATAAATTAGGAAAAACTAATACATACGAAGCGATTATTTTGTAATTATATATGTGTACACACACACATGCGCGCGCGCGCACACACATACACAGGGTGGGTCAAATAAAGTGTTACAAGCTATTTTCTCTATTACTACTGCAGGTGTTGATTTAAATTTTTTTTAAATTTAAATGATACAGCGGGACTGACAATGATGTATGAAAAAAACATGAAGATATAGTTTTAGCATGATGGTGTTCCAGTACACTCTGCTAGAAATACGTGTATATTATTAAACACAAAATTTGGAAATAAATGGATTGGACGTGGCAGACCTGTTTTGTGAGCACCAGATCTAACGCCATTTTTTCTTGTAAAGTTACATAAAACATAAAGTGATGGCAATTGCTCCAACAACGAAAGAGAATATGAAAATAAGAATACGTACTGCTTGTGTATCGATTACTCTATCAATGTTATCAGATGTCCGAAACAATATTCACAAACGCATAAATAAGTGCTTAGAAAGCTCGCGGACATCATTTTGAACATTTAATGGAATGATTTTCAAACCAGAATACATTTCCATTGGTTTCATCTTTATTTGTTCACGTTTTACATATGTCAAGTTGTATCTTGTAAGAAATTCTTTTCTCAATACCGAGTTATAACTCTTTATTTCAAAGCAAAATAAAAAAATCTTTCAGATAAATATTATTAGGCTTAATGAGAACTATGTGATATGTGAAAATTTATGCCTCGTTCCAATTAAAAAAAGGGAAGGGCTCTCTTTTTGTCCTCAAGGGGACTCTCACAGTTTTTAGTCATACATCACATTGTCAGCCCCGCTGTCCCATTTAAATTAAAAAAAATTTAAATCAATACCTGCAGTAGTTATAGAGAAAATAACTTGTAACATTTTATTTGGCCCATCCTGTATATATTTCTGTGTTTTTTTGTGTGTATTCTTTTAAGTACCTGGCTTGAAGCATCTGCTTCAATTGTGCCATATTTGATAAGGCTTCATCCAAGAGAAAAACAGCATCATTCATTAGGAGATTAATGAAACGTAGAAATAAAGGCGGTTGAACGGCTTCCATATTGCTTTCTGCTTCTTTAGCTAAAACACTAAGGTTTTGTACATTACATTTTATAATTGTACATGTGTTTTATCTGTAATACATGTGTTTAATGAATAATTTTAAACACAATTTTGCAAAAAAAAAAAAAAAAAAAAAAAAAAAAAAAAAAAAAAAAAAAAAAAAAAAAAAAAAACGATAATCTATGGAATGTATCATAATTTTACTTACACAAAGTTTTTGCGATGCTCGTCAAGTTTCCACAGATAATCCATGACGATATACATCGGACGACGATAATTGAACTTTTGCTCGAATTGAACACTCTGTCCGGTCATTTCGATACTTACGAACACGTGTAGCAAATTTACAACTATCTAATTATAAATAAAATATACAGTAAAAGATAAGTAGATGCTCTGTTTCGTAAGAAAATATCTAAACATTCTGCTTACCTGTTGCCTATGTGGATGAGTAATAAATAACTGTTCTCTGTGAAATGTTCCTAAATTAGGAGAAGGCGAAATAACGTTTTCGTCCGTAGTCGGCAAGAGTGATTCCAAACTTTCAGCCAAGTGTGCGCGCAAGTGCGGATTGTACAGACGATGCTGAGACTCCATCAAAACTATAATCTAAAGTAATCGACATGTTATTTTAATTGACTTCATAATAAAAAGTATACAAATATTCGTTGTTTTGCTTTGACTCGCCTCTGTTAAGATCGGATTCAAAAAATTCGGACCTTCTTCCTCAAATGTGTTTGAACTTACGCGACGTAACAAATATAAAAATCCGATGGTATTTTCTACTACAAACTCAGGTATGCATCTGTGTAAGAACGCATTTCATGTATTGTCGTAATTTTATTATTTGAAATGATTCGTCTTGTAAGTAACAATACGTGCAATTTTTAACACACCTTAATGTAATTGGAACAACTTCCGGTAATGGGAATGTAACAGGCTTATAATGCTTCGGCGCAAAATTGTCTTCTTTTTCATTTACAACGTGTAGATTTACTTGTACCAGCCAAAACGCCGTCATTGCATGGAATTTCGCCAAATGCTCCAACATTTCCGGCACTTGAAGACTTGCTTTAAGAGATAAGCACCTACGACATAACACGCAATTATGATCAATATAAAAGAAACATTCGCGTATATTGGCGTGATCATACATACTTTGCCAATTCAGTATTCATTCGCTGTAGTATAAGATCTCGTACTTCCGAGCTACCGCCATCTCGAGCATCATTGAAAGCTCTTTGTATCCTACCTAAATCTTGATTCGTTCTGAAAAAATGTAATAATTTGTAACAAGCGTAATTTATTTAAATGTTATAAAAATTCCATTTAGTCTGCTCATACTTGAAAAATTTATCCAGTATAACTCTGTAGCCAAGGTCTAACGCACGATGCGTAAGGAAAAAACATTCTGTTGTAAATCCAAATGATTTTGCAACTGGTCGAGTTTCACCTTCCAGAGTTGGTATCAAACATGTTTCCGAATTCAAGCCCTTCAGATGTATACCACGGTGTAGACTTTCGGTTTCATCTTTTGCCTAAAAATATACACGCATAAATGCACACACGCAACACGCAACACGCAACACGCAACACGCAACACACACACACACACACACATATACATATATACAGTGCGACCTCGCAATAAAGCCGCGATGGAACTAGAGGAGAAGAGATTTCCACAAAAACAAGTTCCCCACCAGAACGCCCGCAATCGTCACGGCGAAAGTTGTGTAATTTTCTAAAGTTGTATAATAGGACTTGTCTCTTGTGCAGTCGCGCGTTCAGTATTTACATCTCAAAAATTACTGTGTTGATTTTGTTTTTTGACGAATATTCTCATTGTAATTGCAAATATTTTACCATGACTAACATTATTGTAAAATAAGATAAGAACAAAACATATACATATATTAAGTATAATATATATATTCTTTTAAAATAGTATTGTAATGAGCTTTATTAAAAGATAAATACACTATGTAGTTATTTATTTAGTAAAAAAGATATGTTGTTAAAAAAGTATATAATAATAAAATATATGAATAGTAAAATAAATCTAAATTTCTAAATTGTCATAAAGAAACCTATGTTTTTCTATATAAAAAAGCATATGATAAATGTCTCCGATACGCGGCCCTATTCAGAGAATCTCGCGAACGAAATGCGAGCTCGAGTTTCATCCGCCTCCGAGTAGGGGAACCGTATGAGCGAGAAACTCAAGAAAATAGGGAAAACGGCCTTATTGTGGGCCGGTTGTTCCACTTTTCGATAAATCTCAGCTTACTCGACAGGTTATTATCTATAGGATAAGAACTTGACTAGCGCATCTTCCACTGTTTTTTATTTCTACATATTTATCTGTTAGATACGATTTACACGGTACCGAGAGTGCCGTCTAATTTATCTTTTGGTTTCTGATCATTTACCAGATATATAAATTTTACCGACACGTGGAACAACGCAAATCAGAGTTTTAACCATTAGATAGATTACCCGATAATTTACATGAAAGTGGAACAACCGGCTCTGTGAGAAGCCTTATTCAAAGGTTGGACTGTATATATACAGGGTGTCCCGTAATTGCCGTCTCACCGTTCGTAGACAAGAAGAAGGGGTTATTCTAAGACGAAAAGTCCTATACCACTTTGGAAAGTTCGCAATAATTAACGAGATATGAATTACTAAAGATCCGCTAATCAGCGTGCATCCAGCGTAAGAACAGCTCAGTCTGTAGCGACGGAATACAATAGCGCGGATAGCGCGCTGCCCGAATGCAGCCTATATGCTGTCTATGGATGCGTTCAGACAACTCAACAGTTGCACAACGGTTGAGAGATAATTACTTATGATTGAATCATACTTTTGGAACCGTAGCAGGTTTTGAAGAATAGTCTTATCATAAGTGATGATCTCTCAACCGTTGAGTTTTCTGAACGTAACCTATGTATGCACATGTTATTCTATTAGTTCCTCCCATTCCGTCGCTACGGCGCGACAGACTGGGCTGTCCTTACGCTGGATGCACGCTGATTAGCGAATCTTTATTAATTCATATCTCGTTAATTATTGCGAACCAAAGTGGTATAGGACTTTTTATCTTAGAATAACCCCTTCTTCTTGCCTATGCACGATGAGACGGCAATTATAGGACATCCTGTATATATACCCAGCAAACAATTTTTGACTGCGCAGACCTTGGCAACAGAAACTGTGTGTAGAAACGCTACAATACGGAAACATGCTTTGGTACTGCCAAAGCTGTTAACACAGAAACGAAGGACGCAACATGGTCACCAAAACTCACCAAACTGTATCCTAAAGAGAACACAGATGGATATGGATTTGGTCTACAAATTTCGCTGACGGTTGGCGAAAAAATCGCGACATCTCACAACCAAATTGTTTGCTGGGTATACATCATAGACTTATATAATAGATGGAACATTTATATGACGAAGTTGAAGACAACATTAAAGGACAGAAATAGTGCTGTTTCTCTCTCTTACAATAAGAGCGGTGGGGGACCAATCATCTCACAAGTCTATGCTATCACCTTCCACTATCACTTTCTCTCAACTGACTCTCGAACTCTATCTTCGTTGCTCTCGGCCACTCCTTCGGCCACCAATCAACTCACTGATAGAAAAGAAGAGAACTACTCCACGACTATTTCTGTCTCTTTTAACGAAGCTTCAGCTCCTCTTACATGAATGTTCCGTCTATTATATAAGTCTATGGTATACATACACACATACATACATCAGTGGTGTTGCATCAGCCGTACCGGTTAGATGTGCGTAGTTACGCTTAGATATTTTTGGACAATCTTCGGTGTTTTTACACCGATTTCTTCAGTTTATCAGTATTTTTAACGAACGTACAACTCCGTGGCTTGTACCCAAACCACGGTTTAGGACCTGTGTCACGATTCCTAAAGACTTAGAATGGCGTATGGACTAGCTTGAAACGGTCCTTTGAGCCATATATGCACCAAACCAAACCACATACATACATATATACAAATATATATATATATTTATATACACAGTGTATGCCAAAAGTACCGGAACGGTCAAATATTTTGAAAACGAAACATTTTAAAACAAAATGTTCCAAACAAAAGTTTTGGAGTTTTAAAAGTTCTATTGATTGTGAATATATTCGATTGACCTTGAGTAGATAGGTCAAGGTTACGGCAGTCATAATTTTTTTTACATAGAACAATCTACTTTTTATCATGTAATGTTAAAGCTGACTTCAAGACCTTTCCAAAACACTGGTTGATGACCTATTTCTATTGAGAATTACCTCAGATATGAGCTCTAGAAGGGACGATACCGCCAGCATTAGAATTATTCAGAATGCACCGCGTGGAGATTGCATGAACGGACTTTATACTCCTTTGTGTGTGTGTAACGGAGATCAGGACTCTAGGGTTCGTCACTCCCCTAGTATTTTGTGACTCCAATAAGCGCGCGAGCAGAAAATGTGTTGTTGAACAAATTAGCAACTTCAGAGTATGGTCTAATACGATCACCATATCTCCGCATCATGAGCAATGTTATCCTTTCCTTTTCATTTAAAGACATTTTCACAATATGGAAGTAAAAACAACATCTAATTTGTTAGCTTGTTCATGTATTTCTTGATACCTAAAGATTGTAGTGCTGTAAACTTGCAATATTATTTTGTTGTTAAAACCTGAATACGTCCTTAAAAAAGAATATTTTTAAGTCTTTCAGTGTGTGAGATTATCATTATCATACAAAGTATTTTTTACGGCTTCATAATTGTTATCTCTTGCTTCCATATTGTAAAAATGTCTTTAAATGAAAAGGAAAGGATAACATTGCTTATGATGCGAGGATATGGTGATCACGTTAGACCATACTCTAAAGTTGCTGATTTGTTCAACAAAACATTTCCTGCTCGCGCGCCTATTGGAGTCACAAAATACTGGAGTAGTGACGAACCCTAGAGTCCTGATCTCCGTTACACACACACACGCACACATACACAAAGGGATATAAAGTCCGTCCATGCAACCTCCACGCGGTGCATCCTGAATAATTCTAATGCTGGCGGCATCGTACCTTCTAGAGCTCATAACTGAGGCAATTCTCAATAGAAATAGATCATCAACCAATGTTTTAGAAAGATTTTGGAGTCAGTTTTAACATTACATAAAAAGTAGATTGTTCTATGTAAAAAAAATTATGATTACTTTGTCGTGACCTTGACCTATCTACTCAAGGTCAATCGGATATATTCACAATCAATAGAACTTTTAAAACCTCAAAACTTTTGTTTGGAACATTTTGTCCTAAAATGTTTCGTTTTCAAAAAATTTGACCGTTCCGTGACTTTTGACACACACTATATATACAGGGTGTCCGACAATTAGTGTAAAATCTCTCGTAGGCAGATAGAATGAGTAAAACTGAATCAAAAAGTTCTAAACCATTTTTTTCTATTACATATAATAGGAGTAATTATTGAATAAATCGAGTCAATCAGCGCCGAACTTTAGCCGAACGCAAGTCAGTGAACCACGCGCCTGGTGTGGGTGAGCGCTTCGCGCGGCTCACTAACGCGCGCCCGCCTAAAGGGAAAAAAATGGTTCAAGACTTTTCGACTCAGTTTTACTCTTTTTACATGTCTACGAGAGATTTTACACTAATTGTTGGACACCCTGTATATATATATATATATATATTTATACACACGTATATAGAATTCTTCAAAAGTATAGAAACGGTCAAATAACTCGTGAAATGCACTTTATGCGACTCAGAGATACATTTTAGAAAAAAATAGGTAAATATTTATAAAAACGAAGCAGCCTCGGAGGTCAATGACATATGTTATCAAAGACTCCTTTCCTGAACAGCAATCAAAAGGTTTTAGCCGTCGCTCGTTGTTTGTTAAAAAGTTGTAAACAAAAGAAGTTTCATAAATCAACTCTTATTTTCCGACACCAAATACATTTTGTTCGTATTGTAAGCGTGTAGGCAAGAGGAGTGGCTTCGCCCATCCCGCTGCATCCCCCTGGAAAAAAATAAAGAACGACTTTTGTTTAATTGTCGCTTCATGTCAAGAGTGTATACGTGGCTTTTCGAGAAGAGTACAGGAAGAGAGCAAAGCCACTTTCCCTGCGGGGAGGCGAAGCTCCCCCTGTCTACAACACCAACAAGAAGAACATAAACAAAATAGTCTCGTTAAGAGGCCTTATAGCTTTGTTTAAATTTCTTGTAAAAACTACTGCGGAAACTTTATTGAAGGAGATAAGAAACCATATTGCTCCTGGATCAATCATACACAGTGACTGTTGAAAAGCATGTAATAACATCAATATGTACGGTTACATTCATCATGCGGTAAATTACACAGCAAATTTTATAGATCCTCATATCAATTGTCACACGCAAACTATTAAAAGAATTTGACGAGATATGCGAAGTAATATTCCGCGTTTTAGAACATCGATAGAACATTACAAATTTTACATAGCTGAGTTTTTATTCAAACGCCG